ATAGATAGATAGATAGATAGATAGATAGATAGATAGATAGATAGATAGATAGATAGATAGATAGATAGATAGATAGATAGATTGATAGATTGATAGATTGATAGATTGATCATAGATAGATATAGTTCTATTTACATATATATATATATATATATATATATTTCAATAAGATACAACTGAACCAGGCTATATGGCATACACACACACACACATGCATGCACACACACACTCACACACACACACACATATACCAGCCTGTCCATATACATGTGAGCATCGTATATGTTCTGGTTAACTGGCTTTGTTGCAATAATTTTAATTCTTATGGTAAGCTGTTATTACCACATAATTTTTTTCTAACATTATTAAAATACTTTGTAATATTTTGGAAGTGAATTTCAAAAGAATTTCCACGAGAGTTTCATAATGATTTATCTTAAGAACTTTTGCAAAAACAAAATAATAAATGGAAATTCACTGCATAATGAAAAGGAAAGTAGTTTAGAGACAGAGAGTAAATAACACTTCTTCTTGGCTCTGATGAACTCAACCCCAGAGCTCAAGCCAGGCAGAGACAAACCAGAGAAAAACATAGATGGTAAATAGAACTTACCCATATTTCGCAAAATTTGCCCAGCGTTTCATTATAGATCTACTCAGAATTTCCTCGGGTTTTGTGTAATTACCTCTTCTTTCCAAAGGCAACCCAAAGACAAATTCAATTTCATAGCCATGCATCACTCCCATCCATTGTGGCCAAGGAAGTTTGGAGGAACGGTGCTCAAAATAGTAGAAGAAAACATTGTTTTCCCAATCCGAGAACTTCTGGGCAAATTCCAGGGCAGGACATAGGATGTTGTAATCGCCGATCACGTCGTCGAAGGCTTCCCTGTACTTCTCCGGTCTCTGATCATCTAACCAATCCGCGTAGTGGAAAAGGATAGATTCCTTCCCCAGTTCCCCCACTCCGGGGAAAAACATGTCCAACCCTTCTTCAAACTGACTTCTGGTGATGAGACTATCATTGTCTTTGCTGAAACCCGGGGCCCCGTACACCAGGAAGGCTGACCCTTCGTCCTTGTTCACACCCACCAAGATCTGCGTGCGTTTGAATCGTCTCATCTGCAGAAGGGCGTCGGGCATGTCAGCTAGGAAGTCATTGTCCACCGTGGGTCCAAAGTGGACGGACAGAAGGCTCTCGTGGGGAAGGACAAAGGCCTCATTGGGCAGGATTTCCTGGGGATCTTTGCGCCGCAGACACTGGAGGAGCTCAGTCTCGTTCTCTCTAGCGCAGCCCAGCAATGTGGCCAAGGTTAGCGTTCGGTTCCTCGCCTGGGCTGGGGACATCGCTGCCCACGGGGCGTTCGCAGACCCACTTTGCAGAATAGCCCTGAGGAACCAGGGGTGGCTCTGGGGGGACAGCAAATGCAGGCCCACGGAGGCGGCCCCTGCACTTTCTCCAAAGAGGGTGATGCTCCAGGGGTTGCCACCAAAGGCCGCTATGTTTCCATGGACCCACTGCAGGGCCAGCTGTTGGTCGAACAACCCCGCGTTCCCCGGAGCCTCGGGATTCCCTGGGAGCGCCAGAAACCCCAGCGCGCCCACCCTGTAGTTCATGGACACCACGATCACCCTCTCCACCCGAGCCAGGAATCTGCCGTCATAGACGTTTAAGGAGGACGTCCCTGTCTGGAAGCCACCCCCGTAAATCCACACCATCACCGAGGCATTTCTGGGCTTGGGGGTTGGCACCCACACATTCAGGTACAAGCAATCTTCGCTCAGGTCTGTGTTCGGATTCCACATCTCCGATCCAGAGAAGCCCGGGAAACTCTGATCTGGGTTCTGATGGCAGGAATTGGCGTACCTCGTGGCGTTCCAAATGTCTGGCCACGTGGCCGCAGGCTGTGGCTTTTTGAATCGAAGGGGACCCACGGGTGGCCGGGCATAAGGGATTCCCAGAAATGCGTTCACAGTGCCTCCCAGGACGGTCAAGGGCACGCCTCGGACCTTGCCCGCTTTGGTGGCCACTATAAGGTCTTCTTCAGCGCCAAGTGACTTCTCCATGGGCAGGCAGAGCAGAAGAGGCCACAGGAGAATCGAGGGCCCTGGCCTTTTGCCTTTGCTCTGCATGATGATTTCTAAAAGAGACGTAAGTAGCAGGTTGTGTTAGTGTCATTTATAGGGAAAATGTGAAAAGAAAACATTGGGTACCAGTTGCACACGTTTGTCATCCTAGCTATTCAGAGGATGAAATTTGAAGATCTCAGTTCCCTGCCATCTCTTGCAGGAATCTTATCACCAATTATCCACAGAAAGACCCCAAATGAAGCTGTGGCTCAAGCAGCAGAGTGCTAGAGTTGATTGAAGAAGGTAAGGGACACAATGCAGGTGCTGAGTTCCAGCCCTAGGACGGGCACACTAACAAGAAGACATCTTTTTATCATTATCAGGTGCTATGCAGAATTTTTTTAATGAAAATGTTCCAGAGTTTAATTTAGAAGGAAATAAGTCAAATGTACAGAATGTACTTGACTTGTAAGTGTTGTCAAGTATCTTTACAGAACTCTGTAGGGGGTTCTAGTACTTTGAAGTGGAAGTTTGCTCAAGCACCCATCACATTAATTCTCATCCATACACAGCCACGTCAAGAGTAACATTCACTGAGAACCCATTTATATGTTAGATTTAATTTCTACTGTAGAGAGAGCGGGGAGAGAGAAAAGGAAAAAGAGAGGAGGAAATACATAGAGGAAGAAAGCAAGCTAGACAGAAAAGGAAATAAAGCTCTTTGATTTGGTGACATTTCACTTCTGGTTGACACTCAATATACTGAACTAGTTTAAGAAAGTTAAGGAGTTATAGATGTCTATCAACGTTCACTTTGGTTACACCCTCTTTCCTTGCATCATTCTTTCCTCTCTAACATGTTAGTCTATTGCCAAAAGACAAGTCAAACAATATTTTAGCAAAATATTATTTAACAAAGTAGAGAACTGAAACATTTTAATAAATGAGAACAACTGACATTTGCACTGTTGTTGCCTCTGTTTGAAAAATATTTGGGGCTGTAGGTAAAATATCTGTATAAAAGACTTAAGTTGCCAGGTGCTGGTGGCTCAAGTCTGTAATCCTAGCTACTCAGGAGGCTAAGATCTGAGGATTGAGGTTCAAAACTAGCCCAGTCAGGAAAGTCTTTTAAGGTCTTATCTTTAATTAACCACCCCAAAACCTGAAGTGGAGCTGTAGCTCAAGTAGTAGAGTGCTAGCCTTGAAGGTAAAATCAAGGGTAGTATTTAGGCTTTTGACTTGAAGTCCCAAGACAGGCACATTAACTATCTCTCTTTTCTCTCTCTCTCTCTCTCTCTCTCTCTCTCTCTCTCTCTCACACACACACAAACACACACACAATGATTAAAATTTACTTGTTTTTATTCCATTTATGTAGGCAGTGGCTCTACAATTTGATAGTTATGTCGGGTTCCTCGGGTTGAATACAATCTCCATGGTAATAAGCACAGCTGCTATTTTGAATCGGAGATAATATTGACTCGAAAGCAATTTCAGTCGATCACATCTGTTACCTTGCTAATTGATTAAAACAGATGCCAGTGGCTAAATGCAATTGCATGGTCAGAAATACTTCTGTTTGAATTGTGCGCATAATGACAGAAATCTGAGAGGAAAAACTGAGACATGAATTGAGAAAGTGCAAGAAACCAGTGTAATCTTTGCGAGTTACAAATTAATAGATCTTTGATATGTTAGGAAACAAAACTAATTCTTGAAATTCATTTTATACAATAAAATGAATGATACAGGGCTGGAGAATGGTTAGAAAGGCACCCCTAAAATCAGGCATGAGGTCCATATGGCAAGTGGAGCCTTGTGGGATGGGCCGCATACCCACGCTGCCTTCCCCTTCGCTGCTCAGATGGCTCTATCCTGATGTCCAGGAGCCTTCAGCTGTGTCCCTACCCACAATGCCAGGTCCCTATGTGGGTTTGGCCTTCTAGATGTCTCCTTTCACAGCTTCGTCCTTGCCACGTTTTTTCCTAAGTCAAGCACTCCAGAGAGCTCTTCCTCCAAGAGTCAGTCCACGACCCCAGCGTGGCAGCTGGCTTGTGAAAAAAACCACAGTGTATGGGCACCTGTGCCTGCTTCCTCCGTGGATGGGATCTGCCAGGCCTCCCTGGCTGGACAAAGGCAGAATGACTTTCTCACCCTGCCCTTCAAACGACGACCATTTACTTTCTCAAATGGTAACTGCTGCCAAGGAAAAGAGCCAGGTTTCATGTATTCCCATGCTTCCACCGGGCCTTCTGGAACTGCCCTTTCCCCGAGTTCCCGGGGGCAGTGGGTGTGGCATCGCCAGGGCAGACAGCCAAAGCTTTACCTTCCCCTAGCAGCCAGCCTGGAGGGGGAAACTACCCTCCCAGAACTTCTGTTCTCTCTCTGTCTCTCTGTCTGTCTCTTTTTCTCTGTCTCTCTGTATGTCTCTCTCCCTGTGTCTCTCTGTGTCTCTCTGTCTGTCTGTCTCTCTCTCTCATTGTTAAACAGGGTTGTGGTGTGCAGTGAATTGGCTGCCTTTGTCTAGAGGGGTCCTGGCCTCTGTCCCCACCACCACACCTGTCCAGTCTTGGTGACTGTCCCTAGATGGGCTGTCCCATCTAGGGCTGAGCTACACACAATAAGAACCTACACCCTAAAAGATAGCCAGAGAAGCTGTATTTCTTGAGTTAGAAATCTGATATTGTGACGGTCTGAATATGTGTTTATTATATGACTGATAGAAAAAAATTCATAATGCAAATCAGATTGTCTTTTAAATGAACAAAGAAAATATTCACACAGAAATGCTGTGAATAAAGAGAGAGGAAACATGCAAGGTAACTTTCAATGAAAATAATGAATGTCTTCACATAATTAAGAGAAAAACAATCAAAATATTCACGTGCAAGTTCTCACATACATAACCACCCTGGATCTCTGTAAAGGTACAACAACTTCCCTTATGTTTTCTGATGCTGTAATTGCAAATGCAACCTGCATTACTGAAGACGCTAATCCTATTAGCACTGAGGATTTGTATTCCTTTTCTGTTTGTTTCTTTAATTTAGACCATCTTCAGGGCAGTCAAGAGAGGACAATCCCAATCTGTATTTCCAGCCCTGAAGAACTTCAATTTTACATCAGCTTCTTTCACCACTGCTCATACAAGTACTTTTTTATTCTAGTAGTTACAAGTAGTTTTTTATTCTAGTAATGACAGAAAAAAATTAAAATACAGTACATAACACTTAGATCAGAGCTGATAACCTGATAATTATGTCTAGGTCTATGTCATTCTACCAGTATTCTTCTGTATATGTAAATACATTTGTATATGTGATTATTGTGAGAGAGCAATTTCTGTTTTTAAAATAAAGGCACAGTCATTGTTGTGTCTTGTTTTGATATGATTAGAGGAATGCTGGGATCTGTGAAAAATATTACTGCACCATTCTGTTGTATAATATGATCATTAATTGTGATAGTTAAATGTTATAATGATAGGAAATATAATTTGCTTTTGTTTGAAGAATAGCATGCAATTAATATGTAATGATGTAGAAGTTCTGGTAAATATAAACATTTGTATAATTACAGCGGAATTTGGAGGTACTACTGTTATTCTTTCTGAATTTTCTTTTCCCTGATAAAAACTAGTTCCTTCCTCTTAAGCAAGTGGAGGGGGACATTAGGAGAAGAGCAAATTGACATGAGAATTCTTTGCCTTTTTGGAAAACCTCACTCATTTATAGAAAATGTCATCAGATGCAGTGCTGGTCACTGAAGCTCTGTTTCAATAAATTCATTTCAGGTTCATTGGTTTTCCTCATTTCTCTTCTTGAGAAGTCCAGACAGTGACCAATGCAAACCTAATCTGAACCAGTTTCTTTATCCTTACTTAAATATCAATTTGTGTGTGTATAAGTGTGCATGTGTGACAGAGAGAGTGTTTGTGTGTGTAGTATGCAAGTCCTCAGACTCCAACTCTGAACTCAGAAGCCTGGTTACTACACCTGAAAATTTTTTACTCACGGCTGGTTCTCTACCTCTTGACCAACAGCATCACTTCTGGCTTTTTGCTGGTTAGTTGGAGAAAAGTCCAAGCCTGTTGTACTTTTCTTGCCTGGTCTGTCTTCAAACTGTCATTCTCACATTTCAGCCTCCTGAGTACCTAAGATTACAGGTATGATCCACTGGTGCTCAGCCTAAATATTAACTTTATGTTTAAAAAAACTTTCCATTAAGCACTAATAACTTTTATCTCTACTAATTTTCATGCTTATCAAACTTTTCTTTAAACTACTAATTTTATTTCAAAGAAATGTAACTAACCACTACATTTTGGATGTATAAATATTAAATATTGAAATTTTATTATTTATATTTTAAAATAGCTAATAAAAGAGGTTATCTTATCTGTGTTTCTATTTTTATCTTTTTCCAAATAAGCCCAATTTTATACAGTACAGTTTATATAAATTAGAACTATTTTTAACAATGGTATCTACAAGTTCTCACTCTGAAATACTGTAATTAATAACATTAAAAACAATCATTGTAAGCATACCCTCATTAATTACTAAGATAGCAGTGTAGATCTTACTTAACTGTTTCACTCTAAAGAATGTCATGGACATTAACAGTAAATGTGTATTACATATTAAAACTTAAAGACATTCACATATGCAGTTTTATCTAATATTAGTTGGCTGCAATATTTAATTTAAATAATCTTTGTTAATTATTTTATATAAGCACTTATCTTTTCACAATATGATACTCTTTATCTTTATTTGTTGCTCTGCATTTTTTCACTAAAGGATATTCACACTTTAATAATTATCAGTTACATGATTAAACAATAAAAATGATACAAATAAGTGAAGACTACAAAATACTCTTATTCTCTATACTCACGTCTTGAATAATAATTTTTTTCATGAAGCAATTGATTCTTTTCCTGAAAATTGTAGTACAAATAGCAATCTAGAACTCCTTCAACTCCAGTAGTCCACAAACTAATATACAGAAGGGACAAATCTTTACACCAATTGAAGTTACCAGAATTCAGGTCACTTAACTACTGAAATAGTTAATGTTTGAAAAAGAGGTAGGTGTTTTGTTTAGAATGTCAAAAGTAAATGAATGCTAGGTAGAAAGGGAGACACCAAGAGGATGATAACTCGTAGTTTAACAGATGCTCTTGGATTTGAAATTTATTGGCTATTTCTGGAAAAATCTAAACTTAAAAACTATAACTTTAAAGTAAAAACTAAAGTTTTTATTCATTTTTGTATTTTTATTCAATATTGAACATGCCATAATTCTCCAGCAATTTCAATAATAACTATACAGTGAATTCTAAGAATGAATGTGATTGAATGATTAAAATTAAGAGCAATCTATTTACATTTTGCTTTTCATAGCTTGATATCAACCAAATATTCAAAATAATTTGCTCAACATGTGCCATGAGAAAAATGCCAAAAATATTAAAATAGAGTTCTCCAGGAATTGGGTAATTTTCCTGTTTTAAAGTCATAATAAAGTATGTATTGTATTGGAGAAAGCCCTTAAGATGAATTGCTTTAATCATATTAGAATGATCAAGTTGCATTATTAAGATCTTTTTGTGGTAGAATTAAAATAATTAAAACAACTCAATCTTTTCCCAAAACTGAAAAGATTGTTTGACCCAAGCTGAGTGAGGCAGAGAATTGAGGAGATTTCTTGTCAGACAGACTATACCAATGACTTTCAAGAATCTGCAGGACTCGTAAACTTTCTAGATTTCAACTAGGCGGTAGGAAGGCATGTACAGATAGGACATGTTGCATTCTGCGTAACATCTCTGACTCTCCTCAAGCAGAGTGTATAACAAATTTGCCCTATATAAATAATCTCAACAGTTAATTACTAAATTAATTGAGTGCTTAATTGAGTGATTGGGAGTTGAAAATAACCTGTTTGCAATCTGTTCAACTAAACTTTTCAGTTTATTTTGTTAAGAATGAACAGATTTTTGGCAGAAGTATCAAAACATAAACATAATATTTAAATATGTATTGTGATTACCAATAAATGAATCAAAACATGGAGTATATTTGTAGATACATTTGCCTAATTAAGATTTTCATAGCTTATACTTATTCAAATGCAATAGAGAGTAGATTCAAAAGTTTCTTATTAACAAATCTGTAAGATACTGCAAATGAGAACAAATAATAAGTCCACTAGAAAAAAGAAAACAGAAGTTTGAACATCCAATTAGTAATTCTATTAGGCATTGCAAATGGCAAACCTATTTTGTTGTATAGAGACCTTAGAAATTACCATTGCAACATTGAACCATACTTTAAACATTCATGCTTATCTTCAAACTAAGTAATGGTTATATAGTGAAGTTTGGATATATTTATCATAGATATTATTTTATATTAAGTAACCCGTTCACATAAAGTTGATATAACTTCTTCATAGATTATAAAAATATTGACATCATAACCTTGGCATGAGAAGAGGTAGAATTGAAATATAAATAATAAAATGTTTTGCTTATAGTTCAGGTTTCTTTCCATCTTATGTATTTTCTGCATAAAGGTAAGTTTTCAAACTTCGGAGACAAACATTTGCTTGTCATTTGTACAATGACAAAGAATGCACATAAATGTTAGATATCTTGCTACTGTTTAAAGACACACATGAGAAAACACAAACGAGAAAAGTTTGTAAAGGTAATGCACATTCCTTCAGTGTAAAGGAAACTTTGACCCTCCACTTGGCAGTTGATATTACAAAGGTTTCATAATATGTTGGCCAAGCAAAGTAGCTGGTTAAGCCACCAATGCAAGAAAAATTAATTCCATGCTGCATTTCAAAAGGAAAACAAAAAAAGAAAAATGTTCAAGCCTGACCCAAGTGCAGCAGTTCTGGTGTTCTTTCAAGGAGTGGTCACTAACTAGTCAATCTCAGGACAAAGTAGAATAAGATTTATGTTTTTCCTCCCTCTAAGAAACTGCTAAAGAACACAGACTTAGAGGATCCACAAGTGCTCTGCCCTTTGATACAAAGCAGAAAGAAACTCATTTCTTTCGGCGTTAAATGGACTGGGGGTGCACTCCTTCAAGAACAGACAGATCTGATGTCTGTGCCTCTTTATTGGCTTCTTTACTGTATCCCATTCAGCAATTGCTTCTATCACCACCAAAGAGACACAGCCAACAGTGAAGAACCGAAACACTTGCCCAGTCTTTAAAGAGACCTGCGTCTGGACACCAAAGGTGGAGATTCAGAGCAACTTACCTCTCACACTCCTCAAGGGAAGATGACCAAGTTTTCCAGGAGTGGGGACTGTGCACTAATGCTTCGGAGGGAAAGGCAGGATGCAGCTGCTGCTCCTGCCAGGGGCTGCACTGACATTACAACCCACTGTTCTGACAAAGCTCGCGAGAGTTGGCAAGGGCTGCTGGAGCTACAGGCAGCCAGTATCTGGACTTTCTGACATCTGTTCCGAGGCTAATTGCATGACTGCCGTGGTGATTCATTTACAGAAGTATTATTGGATCCGGCGTGATCATCGCAGATCTTCTTCTAGGAAGGAGGAGACAAGGACAGAGAAGTTTCTTAAAAAGAAAATGCATACTGTTTTCTTTTACACTACACTTCAAGTACTTTTCATGTTTGTTTCCTACTATGCATTTTTCCTGTAGCTTATTACTTATTACTCAAAGATCTAAGCATGCTTCTGAAGAAATAAGGGAAATCCCTCATATACCATAGATCTGTGGAGGGCTGCGAAGTTGTAGAGGATCAGCCATGAGAAAGCTGGAGCAACCTAATCGCTCGTGGGGATGACCCTCCAGAACTCAATACTTATTTTTTAAGTTTTGTAAGTCTCACAATTCCTGGGAATGTACAAGGTCCCTGCAGGAATTCACATGTCATGAACCTCTAGAGAGTTTACAGTCTGAGCCAATGAAAATACAAGGAAAGATGTCCCACAAACTTCAGCAGTCACCTGCTCTGATATACTTCCATCTCTACAGCTCTCCTCTCCAAAAAGCGGTTGGTGTCTTTCTTTTGGTTGGATTTGGATTTGAACTCAGCACCTCACTCTTTCTTGGCTTTGCTTGCTCACAGCTAGTACTCTCCCACTTGAACCACATCTCCTGCTTTGCCTTGGGCTGGTTAATTGTAGAGGGAGCCTCCCAGGTTTTTCTGCCTATACTGACTTTTGGGCAATCATCTTTAAGTGCTCAGCCTCTCGAGTAGATAAGATTACATTCATGAGCCATTTTTATCTTATCAAATTATCTTTGCCAGGAAAATTAGGTAAAAGCCTCATAATCCCAGTGATTGATAATCCTCTACAATGATGTAGTTATAAATTAGTATAAAGTACATGATTTGTCTAGGTAAAAACAAGGTTTTTACTTTTTTCATTTAAAGGAACTACACTGATAAATTCGCAAAGACTTATACAGTGGTAGCATCTCCATGGTCAAATGCAATCAGTACAGTAGCCACAGGAAAGTCTGTCTTTTTAATGCATAACAACTGTAATCCAGATGTCAAAATTTTTCCAACTCAAATCCATTGTTTTTGGTGCTGTGCACGTAATTAGCATATACTTTAATATTATTTTCAAACCTAACAAATCATTATGAACTGTTTTACTCTACAATGAATTCAGCAAAGCTTTTTTTTTTTTTTGGTCAGTCATGGGGCTTGAACTCGGCCTGGGTGCTATTCCTCAGTTCTTCAGCTCAAAGAGAGCACTCTACATCTTGAGCCACAGAACCATTCCGGTTTTTCTAGTGGTTAATTGGTGATAAGAGTCTCATGTACTTTCTTGCCTGGGCTGGCTTTGAACCACAATCCTCAGATCTCAGCCTCCCGAGTAGCTAGGATTACAGACAGGCATGAGCCACCAGCACCCAGGTTGGCAAAGCATTTGATATACTCCTGATGTATAAAATACAGCAAAAACATATACCCATTTATTTATTTATTTGTTTGTTTGTTTGCTTGCTTGTTTGTCTTGGTGCTGGTCCTGGAGCTTGAACTCAGGCCTGGGCTCTGTCTTTGAGCTGTTTTTGCTCGAGGCTGGTGCTCTATCACTTGAGCCAGAGGTGTACTTCCAGCCTTTTCTAAGTAGCTTTTATTGGAGATAAGTATCTCATGGACTTCCCTGTCCTGATCCTCAAATCTCAGGCACCTAAGTAGCTAGGATTATAAGCATGAGCCACCAGCACCCAGAAACACAGATTTAACTTTCATCCTTATACAATGATGCCAAAATAAATTCATTGGTTGCAAGCAGAATTTTAGGCCATGTTTAAAGTGATTGACTAGCAATATCAGTAGACCACACAACCTGAGTCCTGGGGCTTGAACTCAGGGCCTGGGCACTGTGCCTGAGCTTCTTTTGCTCAAGGCTAGCCCTCTACCACTTGAGCCACGGCCTCACTTTCAGCTTTTTCTGTTTATGTGGTACTGAGGAATAGAATGCAGGGCATGCATGCAAGGCAAGCACTGTACCACTGAGCCACATGCCCAGTCCATTGTTCAGTGCTTTTTACATCTAGGAAACCACTTGATTTCCTAGTTAGGCCGCTTTGATGGGCCCGTTGCTTCATTTTCCCCTTCGATCATTTCTTCTTCCTGTCTTGCTTGCGTTCCTCCCTTTGTAGCTCCTGGCACAACAGCTGGTTTGCTGCCGAGCTTTGCTCTCTCTCCCCACTGGATGCTGGAGGTCAGGCACAGGAGCCATGACTGACTGCTAGTGGACAGGCAGCATTCCATTACCTGGCAACCGTGGACCTAATGATCTGCTATGAAAGGGAGAGAATGCCCTGTAAGCGATACTGATGAAATACCACAGGACTCTTGACAGTGCATTAGCGCGGCTCAGAGTTGCAGCCGGGTCTCTGCGAGCTTGAGCAGCATGAGGAGTAGGAGAGCCTTGTCTCTAAGCACTTATACTACCCCATCACAGAACCTTGCTGTTTCTAGGGACTCAACCATAACTCAGACAGCAATGGACTGGCTATTTTCTCAGGAAAGGTTTTCAGGATGATTTGAAATGCTTTCATAACATCAGTCCCCACTTAGACATCACTATTTTAGGCCAATTTTGAAAGCTTCATCTTTGCTTTCATTCATGCTTTATTTCTTAGCAAGAGCAATCTTTTTTATGAAAAAGTATGGATCACAAGGATATATATATATATATATGGATTTTACATACAAAAGACAGAAGCATCTTTAATTTGTTAATATTTAGTATTTAATTCACTTATTTCTAACACTGATCAAATGGTTGGTTGTACATTTTTTAAGTTGTTTGTGTTATTTATCTTTTAAAACATTTTAATGACTCACAGCTAGTGATACTTCACTTGAGCCACACTTCCAGTCTGGGTCTTGTTGGTTAATTGTATATAAGAGTCACTCAGTTGTCTGCCTGATCTGGCTTTGAACCTCAATCCTCAGATTTCAGGATCCTGCAATGAGGATTACAAATGTGAACCACCTACACTGAGCTGAAAAGTTAATATTATCTTGCTTTTTGGAGAACAAGAAAAAGGTGAGGCTTTTTAATTCACAGTACTGAAATTACTAGGGCAAAGCAAGAGGAAGACAATGGAAAAGATAGAAAAGTTGAAAGCATTTTAGAATAAGGAGAATTAAAATGGTGCAAGGTAAATAAAGGAGGGGAGGAAACACATAAAGAGCACAGATTGCCATAGGAAGGACAGATCTAAGAAGGGCCAATATTTGTGAGCTCCATGTATATTGAAGACTTATAAGAAAAGAATGAAAGCAGCATGTGAATCCCTTTTGATCTTTCTCAACCTGTTAGTGGAGACTTTGTTTGTGTTTCAGTGGCACTGAACAAGAGTTGTGTGTTTAGATACCTATGGATGTGTTCACAAGGGGTGTTGCTTATGTCTGTGTGTGTGTACCTATTCTGCAGAGAGCTTAGCTACAAAACTCTGAAGAGAAAAGAAGGAAAGGCTTAATCCCTCTTGGAATAAAATGAAACGATCAAGCTCCTAAAGTCATGAGTCATCATTTCTACAACCACTTACCTAATTTGCAGTTTCCTAACTAATTCACATAAAAGTTTACATGAATGGAAGTTCTAATGAAATCAAAGGAATCATGATCAGAGCAGATCATGGTTTTCCAGACAACATTTTAAAAGTGGAAACACCCTGTTCCCCACTGGGGTACCACTTTCAAGATGGGGGTGAGCTGTTCCCCATCTTCCAGGTTTCTTTTCCTCTCATGGACTTTCTGTCTTCCTGTCTGCTTTCCTTCATGGTATTTCCAAATGAAACTGATTCTTTTGTTTCTTTGGAATGGGTTATGACTTTGGAAATGCCAACAATTTGATCTTTGGGGGGAAATTGAGAGGAACATTTGGAAGTCTTGGAGTCAAAAAAACTAAAACAAAGCAAATAAAAAGGGGAGGGGACCACCAAACTCAGACTCACCTTGGATTTTAAACTTTATTATCCATCTAATGCCAGAGAGCCTGACATTTAGCCAAGCACTGAATTGATAGCGAATCACCACAGTTACTAAATATAATCAGGCAAATACTAATTAATCTTTCTGAGCCTTAGTACAATTTGTATCTTGACATTGTTTTTTAGTCTGCTCACATTTGGTGATTGCATTCACAGCATGACTTTTATCTCACAAAGGAGATTTACACAAAGTGTATTCTTAATCCTGCAGACACTAATCCACTGCCTCCAAGTAACAGAAGGCATGTTTACCTGAGTCTTTCTGTTTTTTGTTGTTGTTGTTTTTGTTTTTGTTTTTAGGTGTTATCATAGCTTAAACTCAGGACCTCATAGTCACTTGTTCACTTGGCTAGTACTCTACCACTTGAATAACTCTAGCAATTTGGCTTTGTGCAATTTGACAATGTGCACTACTTTGCAGCATAAGTAAAATGAGATATTTCTCCTTTCACTTATTGACACTATGGTCAAAACAAATGTGAAAAAATGTATTTGTAATATAAGTTTTGTGTTTTTGTTTTTGTCGGTCGTGGGGCTTGAACTCTGGGCTTGGGTGCTGTCCTTGTACTCTTCAGCTCAAGGCGAGCACTCTACCGCTTGAGCTACAGTGCCACTTCCAGTTTTTTAGTGGTTTATTGGAAATAAGAGTTTCACAGATTTTCCTGCCCAGGCTGGCTTTGAACCGCAATCCTCAGATCTCAGCCTCCTGAGTAGCTAGGATTATAGGCGTGAGCCACCAGCGCCCGGCAGTGTAAGTTCTTTTACCTGCTTATTTTAAAGTATCTCTCCTCACTAGCTGACAAAAAATTGTAATAAGTGTAAATAAACAAACTTATTCTGATTTTGTTCCTTTTTGTTGTACTAGGATTTGAACTCAGGTCTTCAAGCTTTCTATACCACTTGGACCATTCCTC